TCCCTGAAAATGAAAACAGTGCACACAAAACACACCAACAAGACAACACATTTGGTTGCTGGGCTGCTTGCGAGTTGGGGGGGGGGGGGGAGAGGGGGGCGCAGCACGCATGTAAACAAAGGGAAAAAAATAAGACCAAAGCGATAGAGCCCAGTCAGACCCTTGCTGAGAATGTGGGTCCTTCTGCCAAAAACAAACAAAACAAAAGGAAAAACATAACAAACCTAAAACAAAACAAACCCAGAAAAATTTAAAAAAAAAAAAAAGAAACCTAATACCCCCACAAATCCCAAAACCAAAAATGAAAATAAAAAACAAAATTCCAAAGTGCAGTCCCTTGCATGAACCGTTCAAACCTTTCAACTGCTGCCTGAGGCCTGGTCCTGGTTATTGTATCTATTAAGAGACTCATATTGAGGTTATGGTCAGAGGTCCATCCAGGGTGGAAGAGCTGTGACCCCAAATCCAGTGCTCATTTCGATACAACAATCTGCCCCACCTTCACAGTTGCCAAAATGCCTACTGGGCAAGTGGGTAGGTGTGCCCTTGTAGAGCCACTGCGTGCGACTTGCAGGGTGAGGCCTGCAAAGTCCCAGCTGAGCTCCTGTAGGTCCAGTGGCTTCAGTAAATCCAAGCAGAAAGCCAGCAGATTCGGAATGACGCTAAACCCAGATCTGGCTGCTGGAGTGGGAGGGAGAGTCTGTTTCCCCAGGCCTCTCTCAGCTCAAGCCCTAGAAGTCTTGGCCCCTTGCCCAGCGTCTTCCGATGAGTCTGGCTGCCAGGACCCTGCCTGGTGTATACCATTGTGCAGTCTGTAAGTGTTCAGAGGCTCCCGGTTCTGGACTGCCCCAGCACTGCTCTCCGATGGGGGTGGGGAGCGGTGGACCCCGCTAAATGCTTCCCTTCCCCACACCCACATCCACAAGGAGAATTGCCAGAGAGCCGGAGGTCTGGGTCTTTGTGGGCTTTCTTACGTCCTTAGCTCCCAGGTGCATCCATAAAGCTCCCAGGTGAAAGCACTCCGGATAATGGGTGGTGGTGTGGTGGCCGGTTGTTCACTCAGCCAAGGGATCCCTAATTTTTCCTGCCCTCCTGTTCCCAGAGAAGTGTGGAAATGAGGAGGGGAGCTCTGGCCGCAGTTCTTAAAAGGGAGAGCCCTCTGGAGGCAGCCTGATCCTGCTTCACCAGGGTCAAGGTGGCCACAGGGCTGAGGACACAGGATGCGGCCCAAATGGCGTTTTGAGATGCGTAGGCCTGAGGGACCGTTTCAAGAGAGCAGGTAGCAGCGCCGTGCATTGTTCATAAAAGTTCGGTAACACCAACAGGCGGCCATTACGGGCTCTATTCAGGTGGATTGTTGAATTTGCATCCGGATTAATCTGGGAATCAGGTAGGCGCATCTGAGTGCGCGGGTGCCAGCAGAGACTGAGGTTGCAGGAAGTTGTGGGTGAGAGTTGGTCCACCTCTTCTAACCGCCGGTATCCCGGCTCCACCGAAAAGGCCGTTGACCTCGGCTGCACCGGGCGGGCGGTTAGAGCCACAGCTGGGAGGAGGCCTGTTTGTTCCGGCTGCCGCCGCCGCCGCCTCCTCCTCCTCCTCCTCCTCCTCCTCCTCCTCCTCCTCCTCGCAGTTGGTGCGTCCTTCCTAAATATAAAACAAAAGGACCCCCATCCATACCCGTCACTGGCCAATGGGCTGTGCACGCAGAGGTGTGGGGTGGCCTAAGCCACTGTCTGGTCCCGTAGAAGCCTAGCTGTGTGTGCGGTGAGGTGCGCTGGCCTGCCTGTGTGCACACGCCCCTGTCATCCTTGTGGCCTTGTTTGTGTCCATGTGTGGCACGAAGTGGCCTCCATTTTGAGGCGGGGATGCAGCACGGTCGGCCTCCCTGGCTCCCTGACCCGCATTTCGGGGAGGCAGCCGGAAACTTGAGTGATTGGTGGAGTGAGGGGTTCCTCCAAGGGGATTGAGGAAGGCCACACCTCGTGGTCTGCAAGGTGGCACTAATCCTCCTTTCATCAGCTGTTCTCAACCCCCCAGGGCTGCCCACCTCCCAACGCAGGGCAGCATTTAGCCAAGGGGAAAAGGCGTGGAGTCCTTGGAGTCTGTAAGGGGCGGGGGTGAGCTGGGGGAGGCTTCTGAGGAAGGGGGCCCATTCCCAGAGTGGTTTGTGGGTCACCTCAGAGCACCCCCTTTCATTCAACAGAATATTTATAGAGGTCCCGCTGGGTGTTTGCAGTTTTATAGACATCACCTCTGACCTTTAGCACTGACTTTCAAGGTAACAGCTATAGGTTCCTCTGTACAGATGTGGAAACTGAGGCACAGAGAGGCAAAGGAACTGGCTCAAGTTTAAAGGACTCTAAACCAACTTCACTTTATTCCAGCCCCCCACACTTTCCTTCTATTCCCCTGTGCCTTGGAACTCCCCCAACAGATGGGCTATGCTGGGGTGGGGCCCTCAGGTAGCAAGTCCCTAGTGGAAAAGAGGCAGAAAGAAGTGCAAAGACCCAAGGGAAGTGGGGCTCTTTCCCTACAACCTGACAGGATGCGATGGCAGAAACCTCCCTTCCACCTTTTTATGGTTTCCTCCAGAAGTACTTTGGGAGGATGTGTCCTGGGAGACCAAGGGTGAAATGTACTCTCTGCTAAGAGCACACTGGAGGGACATTTCATCTGGAGGCCAACGCGCTGCAGACTTCCCTTCACCAGTACCAGGCCTTTCATCTGTCAGAGCCTCCACCCTGAGTCCCTGTGGGGCCAGGAGTGACACAGGTGACCCTGGCTGGGAGGGATTAGTGCCAAATGACATGCCTGGTATCTCAGGCCTGTAATAACTGCCTTTTCATTAAATGAGAAAGGGCAGAGGGCCCTGTTTACCTTTTATTTCTTTTAGGCATGTAAATACACCCTCTATACTATATTACCATTATATTGTACAAATATAATGGCATTGCTGTGTATGCATACATGCATTTATAAAAGTATATCTCCTGACAATGCACACAAGCTATCTCACATACAGTGGGGGGGGGGGGGGTGGTGTCCATCTCTACTCAGCTCTAGATTGCTCCTAGCATGGGTGGCTCCCATCCCACAGGGTGGAGGGTCACTTTTGACTCCTACCTCCGCTAAGTCTACACCTGGGAGTTACTAAACTGACATCTGTACACAGAACTTATTTGTTATACAAGCAGAGTTAGTAGAGTGGAAGGGATAGTAGGTGGGCACAGAACTCTCAGTTTTCCACAACTCACAAATACCCATAGATGGGGTATGAGGTGGTGAGTGTCACAGGCAGGGATTTGAGGGTCTTAAACAGGGAGTGTGGGTAATTTAAGGGACTGATTTCTCCATTTCTGGAAGCCAGGCAAATTTTCTCAATAGAGCTCCAAGGTGGCTGTTGACATCTTGCATTCAGGACTCCCCATAGTCTATGAAAAGGGATCTGATTTAATCCCAGGTGCCCAGCAGGTCCACACACCTGATGGAATTGCTGCCGGGTGGGGACCACCCTCATACCCCAGCCTGTGTCCTGAACATCGATTACCGCCCCATCTCCAGGTGACCACACCTGACACCAGGAGTGTTTCAGGAAGACATGGGTCGCTGAGTCTGTGTCCAAGACGGTCATCAGCCGACTTTAGATTGGGCTGCCTCCATGCTCTGCCCTGGCCCTGTCCCCCATTCCCAGATCTACCCAAACTCAGCAGCCGTGGGGAGGCCGTGGGCAACCGGGCCACAGTATCTCAGTCTGAGTGTGGGTGGCCCAGCTCAGCTCAGACAAACTCGGGATCCTGGCGCTGGAGGGTCCTGGAGCCAGTCTCAGGCTGGTTCCTCTTCTCCAGGCGGCCGCGGTGGTTGCGGAAATCAGCTCTAGCCGGTCGACTCCCAAAGCCCCGCGGCTGGCAGGCGGGCGCTCCGGAAGTTGAGGCAGTAAAAGGGCAGCGGGAGGAAGCCGAGCCAGGCAGTAGCAGAAGGAGGTCGGGGGAGCCGTTCCCCGCGTGTGGCCTCTTCTGGGCGCTCGGTCTCCGGGTGCCGGCGCTCAGAGACAGTGGGGGAAACAGATCTCAGGCTCTGGCCGCGGCCTAGGGGCAGCCTGAAGGCAAGTGCCCGGAATCCCCTTTTCTCCTTCCATCTCTCTGGGCGAGGCCCGGATCCGGCGAAAGCTGATCTAGAGCTTCGCGTGAGGGTGGCTTTAGGGGTCGGCCTCGCGGCGAGGAGACCAGGCAGAGCTGGGTACTCGAGCGCAGTCCAGAAGCGCTTGCAGGAAAAGAGGGCTGGGAAGGAGAGCTCGGCGGAGCGAAAAGCCAGGAAAGAAGAGAGGAGGGCGAAGGGCGAGGGAGAACGGGAGAGACACGCGAAAGGCCAGGCCGGGGGAAGGCCGCACCGAGAGCCGGCTGGGCCCAGACGCCGAGAGGAAGCGCGAGCCGAAAGAGCAAAGCCCAGGCGGGCAAGCGCCGCACGCCGCCCTCCGCGTTCCGATGCCCTCTCCCGCGAGCAACCGGTGCGGTCTGCGTCGCCGGGAACGGGAAACGAGGCTGGGCAGGCGGCCGGGAAGCGTCCCGGCCGCTGAGCGGAGCGCCGGCCTTTCCCTCCCGCGGTCCCGGACGCTGGTCCTTCCTCGTCCTGACCCCGCGGAGCGCTCGTGACGCTTTTCTCCGCACCACCCGTGAGGGACGCGGGGCGGGGACCCGGCTGTCCGCACCCCGCACTTGTATCCCGGTCCCCGCCGCCGTACCCAGCTGGGATGGGCCTAGGGTGAGCGGCCGGCCCGAGAGGCTGAGAACTGTAAGGCAGTGACACGGACATCTCTTTGGTCCCGTTCGCCGCTTTGTCCCCTGCACTCAGCTCAGTGTTCAGCACACAATAGAAGCTCAAAATAGTATTTGCTGAATGAATGACTGACTGATGACTGGCTGTCTGTGTGAACTGGGAGGTGGAGGCAGCCGAAGGGCTAGGGTGGGGGTCCGGTGGGCCAGAACCAAGAACTGTCCGCTTACCTCGCACCAGGATGCGGCGGCAGTGGTCTGCCTCTCCGAGCCCGGGCTGGCCGTCGCTGTCGGCGCCGCTCTCTCTGGAGCCCGCGGGGCTAGAGGCGGAGGTCCCCGCAATCTCCCTTGGGCTGCGGCGGCCGGCATCGGCGCCCGAGTCCTCCGCTCCGCCGCGGTCCCCGCCGCGCCCGCCGCGCGACTCCCGGCGTGCCGGGCCGCGGTCGCGCTCCGCGCCCCCATCGCCCATGCCGGCCGCCACCGCCGCCTTCTCCACCGCCCCGCCAGCCTGAGCTGGCCAAGCCCGTGGCTCCCCGCCCCTCGCGCCCCCCGCCCGGCCCCTACTCCTCGGGCCCCGCCCCTACCCGGCTGCTCCACCCATCCCTGCTGATTGGGCGCGAGTCGGGGTTCTCTGACTCCCAGCGGCTCACGAGGGAGCAGCGCCGAAGGATGGGAGGGTGGTCCCACTCTTCCACCCCCGATCTAGCCCCACTCCCAGTCCGGCAGAGGGAGGCTGGGGCGGTATTCTGGGGGTGCTGGCCTAGCCCTACGGCCACCCCTAAAGTTTATCAACTCCCTCCCCCAGTCCCTTGCCTTCTGTGCTCCCCACTCCCTCCTTCCCCGGGGACGCTCAGGCTCCGCGCTCCAGCTCTTTCGGCGGGATCAATAACCAAAGTGCTCCAGGAAGGCGACCCCGGCGAGACCCAGCAGAAAACAGGAGGTTGGCCTTGCTCGGGCGCTCGGCTGGTAGGGGGGGGGAGGCTGGAGGCAGGGCCTCAGGTCTGGGGTTCAGTGCCCCACCCCTGCCCCCAGACTCATACCGCCACCCGCATTCGCAGCGGGACCGAAGGCGCGTCCCGGCGATCCTGGGAGAGCAAGGCCTAGAATGTGGTAAATGACCCCGAGAGAGGCCAGGGGACTGACGGAGTGACCCGCACTCGCGGGGGGTTGAGAAAACACGTGCAGAGAGGGGCCAGGAGCCCAGAGGGTCGAGTGAGGCGGAGACTGTGGTAGGCAGCAAACGCCCGGTTCCCCCACGGCCTGGAGGCCCTCACGCGGGGCCCGCACCCTCAGACTTGGGAAGCAGATGGGCGTTTCCTTGTGCCAGCCTCACCCCGCTACTGTGGAGATGCCCCCTACCCCAGCCAGCCCTGGTCCCAGGTCCCACCTTCCCTGGAAAATCGAGGCGCGGAGGTCAGCGTGGCTAGAAGCCAGCTGGGCTGGGAAGCCAGGTGGTGGGGGTTCCTGTGCAGAGCGCTCGGCCCTCCGAGGCTTCCGAGTCCCCAGCGCTTTCAGAGGAGCCCGTGCCCGCCTGAGTCTAGCTTCTGCCTTGCCAGCGCCAAGAGAGGCCGGGCCCTTCGTTCCCTTACTTTGACTCAGAAAGGGGCTCGAACAGAGATTGAGAGACCCCAGTGAAGATGTGTGTTCAACTTGTTTGTGGGCGGGAGTGCCGATGACCATTCCCCTAAAGCACCTGATTGCAGACTTTGCTTCTCTTTTCTGGCTCGCATTCCCGGGTGAGCGAGGTTGCTTCGGTCTGTCTGGGGGGCTGATTGAGTGTTTGTGGGGGCAGGGCCCATGATGTGCGTGTGTGGGGGGGGGTAGTGAGGTGAGGGGGTAAGTGACTGTCCGGGCTGAGCGTGCTGCTGGTGCAGCCTCCATGATTTGGGTGAGCCAGTGTATGAATGTGTGTGTGTGTTACTGCCTTAGCGTGTGTCCAGTGTGCATGTATTTGTGTCCAGTCATGAATGTCCCCTGCAGAAGGCCAGGTGGGCTGGATGCCCCAATTACTTAATTGGGTGGCTGATAATGAAGGAGTTGAGAACTAGGAAGAGGGGAGGGTAAAGAGTGCAGGAGGACTGCTGCTACCTGCTAACAGAAAGGTGGGGGGAGGAAGGAAGGAAGGAAAAAAACTTGGCCACTAGGTACTTTGGGTGGGGCAGAGGAGCACAGGCTGGTGGCCAGGATCCTGGACAGGCTGTGCAGAGGGAGAGCAGTCTGGACCAGCTGCGGGTGCTGCCAGTTGGTGGCACCTGGGGGGCTGGGAGAAAGGAAATTCATAGTAACAGGAGAACCTAGGGAGTGTGACCCAACTGGACCGATCTCGGTTGGAAGGACCCTTGCAGTGCACACTGGAGGGGCCCAACTCCTCAGAGACCCCCACCCACACAGGCCAGCACGCCCTCCACCACAAACCAGTGGAATGCTGGTCTCGGGATCCAGCCTCAGCTCTGCACCTGTCTTTCTCCTCTCTGGCCCCCTCTCTCAAGTTTACTTGTTTTTATTATTCAAGTAGGAAGCAGAAAGCAAAAACTGGACTGGAACCTTCCCGGCTCCCCAGCCCTCACTCTTCCCCTGCCACTTTCACGGCCGAGTTTGTGTTCAAAGAAAAAGGCAAGGACACCTGCTGAGCCCTGCTGGGTTTTGTTTGTTCTTGCCCTTTAAATTTCAATTTCACAGCATATCTCAGTGGTCTCAGTGCCGGTAACTCCAGTCTCCCTCCAGCGAACTCTTCTGAGGTCCAGGGATCAGTTTTCGGGCATCTGCACCCTCCTGGGTGATCCAGGCCAGTCTGTCTGGTGAGGCAGAATCCCACAGAGACAGGACCCAGGCACTTGGGGACTCCCCTTCCCTAGCTTCGGGGAGCCCTGCTGGGAGAACAGGAGGAGGGTTGGTTCTCCGGAGGTCCCACTCTTTCTCTTTCTCCAGCCCTTTATTTTTTTTTCCCTCTCACTTTCCCTCTTTGCGGGGTGGGATTTGGTGTCCCGAGGGCATTCGGGCGCTCTCCTCTCCGCAGGCCTGGCAGGTGGGTCTCCCTTCCTGGTGATTGTACCCATGACCAGCGAGTAAGGAACTCAGGGGTTCTGCATGCTGAAGCAGAGAACCTGTGCGGTGTGCTTGTGTGGATGTGGGCCAGGGGAGAGGGGGTTGGCCGTGTCGGATCTACTCACCCAGCCCCGGGCTCTGGCCCAACGGAGATGCCTGCCAGGACATCCTAGCGCCTCGTGGCCCACTGCCAAGCCAGTAGGCAGGTTGTGCGGGACCACTGGGCTCCCACCCGCATCCTTTTCTCTCTGGAGACTTTATCCTTCGGGTCTACCTCCTGAGTGTGCTGGGTGAGGATCGCTGGGCGCGCCAGTACCTGAGTATGACCACGTGGCAGCGAGATACAGGGTTGGCCTTGCTGAGTGTGTGCGCGCGCTCACATGTTGGGATGCCATTTGGCTCTGGGAGATCCTCCTGCCTCGGGGTAAGCTGGACACAGAGCTCCAGGGGTGCAGTCCGCCTGGCCAGAATTCACTAGGATCTGGGATTCCTCACCCCGCAGTGGGATCCGGGATTGGATGGCCTATGTGTCCTATATCCTATGTTTTCACTGCCAGTCTACACTCGCAGTCTCACAGTCATCTCAACCGGGGCAAGATCCCAGGGATCTGGAAAATCTCTGTGTCTCTCCTTTTTCATAAAGTGATTCAGGAACCTTAGCAGGGAGGCATGTGGGGGGGGGGGCAGGCGGTAAGGGAGTCCCAGCAGATAGGGGGCAGGGCTATGGCCTAAACTTGCTTTCTCAGTGGCTCTGTCGCTCCCAGGGCTCCAGTGTAGACAAACTCCAGGTGTTGATCTGGCCCTTTTTGGGTCCCATAGGGCCTTAGCAGCTCGTGGCCCAAGGTCCATCCCTGCTAGCAGTGTCTGTCCCGGCCTCTGCTGGTCCCAGGGAATTAGTGGGCTTCTGCTTTGCAGGATGAGCAGGTCTGGTCACAAGGAACTGCTGCATCCTGGGCTGGAGTCCCATGATGCTCTGCTGCAAGGAGTTCCCTGGCCACATGGTGGTCCTGGTCCTCCACTCAGCTGCAGGAGTAGGGAGACCGTCAGTCAGGAAAGAGCTCCACCAACCCACCTCTGCACAGATACTCCTTAGGACTAGGTCTCCAGAGGGTTTCCCCAAAATGGCATGAGTTGAGGTAAGAGGCTGTCCTCTCTCAGGTGTTGCCTTGCTTAGCACCTTGCTTAACTGCTGTCTCCAATTCTTGCCACTCATTCCCCTGGTGTGGACTTGATTCAGTCTCCCTGGTGTGGAGGGAGGTTTCCCCTGGTGTAGAGATTCAGGGACTCTCCAGGCCCTCCCCATCCACCTTCACCAGGCCTTCTAGCAGCTCAGCAAATGAGACTGACTTCCTAAGCCTGAGTCCTTGTGAGAGCTAGGTCCCCAGCACCTAGGGGTAAATAGTTCTCCTACCTCCACCCTGCTGGGCAGCAGGTCCTCTAGGATCAGAAGTGTGCCACCCATCCTGGGGAGCCAACATGTGCATATGGCTGGGTGAGAGTTGGGGCCTAGGTTCCCCCACATGCTACCTGTATCTCACAGTCAAGCCCTTTGGTCCTTCACTGACAGTGATCCTGCAGCTCTGGCTGGAGCCTTCAGTATCGCCTTCTGGTGCTCAGGACCTGAAATGCTGGAGTTCCCATTCTGTGTCTGGTTATTCTCCCTTCTTCTGTATCCCTACAGTGCTCTGGCAAGCGCATCAGACCAGCCCTCCAGGCCTGGAGCCCTGGCCCCAGATCAGCCCTGCTCCTTCTGGTGCCTCTTCCTTCTGCTGAGGCTCATGGTAGAAGCCTGGGTTGAGCTTGCAGCCTTTGCAGGTGCCTTCCCCAGCTGGCTTCCTTCCTGTACTCATCCTTGGCCTCTCTGTCTCTACCTCCCTACTCCCCTCTCTCAACCCCGTGCTTCTCCCCGGTCCTTTCCCTAAGGCCTAGAAACTCAGGAGGTCCGGGTTCTTCTGCCTTGCCTCATCCTTTTTTTTTTTTTGGTCTGGGTCTCCTGTCTATCTTTCTTCTTTCTGGTTTTGGGGTCCCATATAAGGGTCCCTGGGAGATGCTGGGTGGCATTCTTCTGGCCCCCCGCTATTACTGCTGGGATGGGTTTCTCCTGCAGCTAAAGGGAGTTAGGGGTTTGGGTGAATAGGGAAGGACACTCCTTGAAGATTCGGCTGGGGAGCACAAGACCAAGCTGGCAGAAAAAAAAAAATCCATGCATCACTTCCTCCCCTGACCCTGCCTGCACCCCTATGTGCCTGGGAGCCAGATCTCTGTACTGGCACTTCAGAGGGTACCTATTGTCCCCCTCTCTGATAGGAAGGGATTGGCATTTTAAAAGGAGCTAGGGTGCTGTTGGAGTTTTTGTTTTGTTTTGATTTTTACAATGAGCCTTGTTATTTTTGTAAAAGACAATACAGTGTGTTCGTTTCTAAGAAGAGTAATGGTGCTAAAACCCGAGCAGGGGTG